ATCAGAACATATGATTGCATCAAGCTGGCTGCAGGCTTCAGTGCTGGCATTTTCTGTCGCAAAGAATGCCCACATCACTCGAACATTTGAAAAGTGTTAATGAGCAGATCAAAAGGACTGTTGCCTGAAGCAGCTAACTTTCTTTCTTTTTTTCTTTCTTTTCAAATTTTTTTTTAAGAAATCGGCTCTCCTCCAAACTGAAATCTTCATTCTAGCAGCTAAGTTGATGAGATGTAATTCCTCCACCCACCCCGATGATGATAATAACAAACGGAAAAAAAAAAAAAAAATTGGAGAAGACTCAAACTCTCCATATGGTTCATAAAGTGGTGAAAGTGTTTTCCAGAATTTTCAATACAGAGCTGAAGGATGCTAAGTGGGGAAAAAATCCTGGCAACTAGGCAATATTATGCCTTTTAAAAGCTGTAAATTCTCATGAAATATGGTGCACACGAATGCAGCCTTCTCTGGAGTGAATGTGCTCTTGCACTATTTAATATAAGAACAAGATTCTCATGACTGTTATTTTTAATGCATTTGACAACACTAAATTCCCTTCTCCCCCCAGACTAATTTTACTGGCTATGCAGGCATGCTTCCACACAGACCTCCCCCACCACATTTATTGGCTTTAGGAACAAGTAGTATCAAATTATTTTCTTTCCATTTTGTTACTTATGAGGCCACATGGTAATATGTATAGGAATACTTTTAAATGTAAGAAGGAAATTTCTAAGTAAGTGATGTTGGGCATAACAGCAGATGTACACTGCTTCTCTGAAATGGTATAAAGCCCCTGTCAAACACACATTTTCTGTAACTCTACTTTTCTATTATCTATGATTCCATTCATTCACCCATCTCAATAACAATTACTTGGCAACCAAATGATCTTCCAAAGACTTTTCCTTGGCAGTTCAACCTATCTCATGTGATGGCATTAAACTCAGAGTTTGGAAGTAGACTCTTCTAAATGATGGATTTGATTTTAATCCTGTGTTTTCTCTTTGCATGTACTTGGAGAGGTGTTGTAATTAGAGGTTGTTGGGATTTTTTTTTTTTTTACTGTGCTTAAAATGGACATCAGCATAGTAATCTTATGGGGTTATGAAAATAAAAGAGGGCAGCATACGGTAACACAAGTGACAGAAAGCTACTGTCAGTAAGCAGAACCCAGCCCACCCTCAAGTCTGGGTCCTGTCCTAGGGATTCCTACCGTTTGTAGTGATGGAGAGTGTGTCTCTTAACTCAGTAGACTAGCATTTGATAGAGGCAGATAAGGCTTTATTTTCATTGTTAACCACGTGTACCTCTAGACTTCAAAATCTCTTTAAACTTATAAAAGGAAGTGAACATAGTTAATTTCATATTATTTAAAAAAAAAACCTCTGAAAGAGTATTTTCTGGAATGATATGAATACAGGGCTTAGGCACACACATGTCCATATGTAATTGTGGAAAGTCATAGAAACAAGAGACCTATCAGAAATATTGTGATATATGTATTTCATTATCTTATTAGGCTTTTCATGCTGTGGAGGAATGAAAACTAATCCAATTTATTTCATAGATGTAGAAAATTGGGATGATCTTATGTCTTTCCGGTTGCTGTTAAATTTACCAGTTTTCTAAATTCACTGGTTGGCAGAGAAAGCTGATGGCCATTTTCATTGAAATTAGCAATATTTTACAAAATGGAACTCTTACTGTACCATTTTCACATTTTTATCAATATTTTACTTACTAGCTTGGAGTTTGATCATGATCTAAAATACTAATGGTCCATATACTTGAAGGAAGTAGGAGGATTATCCATCTTATTGGAGTTAGATATAGGTAGAGAGAATGTTGGAGGAGAGTTGTATAGAAAAGGATGCTTTACCACACTGAGACATCAGACAGTGACAACAGAGCAGCTGGGTCGTGTAGAGGTACCCCCAAAGAGACTTGATATCTCCACATTACAGATCATGCTAAGAATATGCTTTCTAGGAAAATGAAAACACACAAAGGTACTCCTTGTCCTGTGTGAGTCTGACAGAAGTGACTACATAAACATTTTAAATATATATTTATTGATTTTATTTGTGGACACACACACGTACCTGTGTGTGTGTGTGTGTGTGTGTGTGTGTGTGTGTGTGTGTGTGTATGTGTGTGTGTATGTATGCCTGAGTGTAAGTTTGTATGCCACATGCATACAGGAGTTCACAGAAGTCAAAAGAGGGAATTGGCTCCTTTGGAACCAGAGTTATGGATGGTTGTGAGATACCAGGTGAGTTCTGGCAAATGAGGCTAGGGTTTCTGCAAGAGCAGTAATTGCTCTCAACTACTGAGCCAATTTCTGCTGCTTTACAGAGGATCTCAGACTGAAACCTAATTTTCCTGTATTTGTACTGATAGAGATAGTCCATGTGAAATAAAAGGGAAGAATTATTGGAAGGAGTGTGCAGTAATACCCAGGATGGTATGACAAAGGAGAATGCTAGTGATTCTGTTTATATTATTTTTTATTTATCTGTGCAAGATGTACATGTTATAAGAGTAAATTTGAAATCTTTGCTATGAAATGAAAGTGACCTCTGATATGATAGAAGAATGTATTTTTATATTTCTCTAGTGAGAGAATTCCAGAGAACACATGTAAGATATAAGAGAGATGTAAATTCCAAAGTCCTTAAAATAAAATTCAATGAGTTCTTGATTTGGACTGTGAGAATTGGAACTTTGAGTCCATTTTGACTGGGGAAATGGTTGGTTAAGCTGATATTAGAATACTGACACAATTACACAAGTTAAAATAAATACTGGAGGTCAGGTGGTGGTAGCACATGCCTTTAATCACAACGCTGGGGAGGGAGAGGTGGCCGGATCTCTGTGAGTTTGAGGCCAGCCTGGTCCAAAAAGTGAGTTCCAGGACAGGCTCCAAAGCTATGCAGAGAAACCCTGTCTTGAACCTCAACCCCCCTCAAAAAAAATAAAGACTTGCTAAAAACACTGAAAAAACCTAATTATTTAATTTTTATCACAAGGATTGCATGTAACTGTAAATGGAGTTTTTAATTGGTCTAAATCAAAAGAAAAAAAAAGACAAAAAAAAAACAAAAAACAAAAACAAAAACAAAACAAACAAAAAAAAAAAAAAAAAAAAAATGGAGTCAGATATAGAGGAAACCGCTGAGATCAGAGAGAAGGAACAAGCCAAAGCCACCTTTACTGCATTAGCTTCCCAGTGGAAAAGAGAGCGAGTTCCTGTTTCTTCCTGCTTATATCCTCTCTCTGCTCAGCCATCTCACTTCCTGTCTGTCTGTACAGACCTCCCGACCTCTATGGTTGGCTAGTGGCAAGCTCCATCCTCTGATCTTTAGACAAGCTTTTTTTGTACAAGCAGGATTTGTAAAAATTGTAAAAATTTGTGAAAAATGAAGTGCTAGACTACCAATTGCATGGAAACTAGTACTGATACTTTCTGTATATGGCTTTTTATTGATTGAGCATTTCATGCATGTGTATAATATGTTCTGATCGAATCTACCACTCCTGATCCCTCCCCTCAAATTTCTCCTCTATCACTCTCACCACTTTCCCCTACTGACCTCCTTTGCTCTTTTTTTGAAACCCATCAATTAAAATGCTGAGAGGAGGCGTTGAGTTTAATTGCTGAACCATATTTAAAAATGTTATTTTGGGTTAAGGAAACTATAGTTAGGATACTGACTAATGAATATATATTAAAGAAAAAAAAAACAGGTTACTCTCAGCCATTTTATTAAACTATCTTTAGCTCTCAAATATAACCTCAATAGAAATGTACTATTTATTGCAACCCCCAAACCCAGGAAGAAAAAAATGTGTATGTTTGTGTGTGTGTGTGTGTGTGTGTGTGTGTGTGTGTGTGTGTGTGTACACACTCACATTTTCCAGATTCCAGGATCAAGGCTGGAGAGTGGAAAGTATTAGAGAGAGCAGTTTTGGCTTCATTTTGGGGAAAAAAACTTTTAAATGATGAGGTCCTTGCCAGTCAAATGATGCTCTATGAAATGGTGAATTTCTCTATTGTAGTAGTTCAGACATAAGTGGAGCCACTACTACTTGGTGGGGAGATTTGACATCTTTAAAGGACTAGAACCCACAAGTCCTTGACTTTGGGTTGTGATAATGGGAACAGAATAAAAAAATAATTCTTTCTTGTTTCTTTATCTTTCCTTTTTCTGTAGTTCCTCCCTTCTTCCCTCTCTCCCTCCCGTTTTCCTTCTTCCTTTCCCCTTTCCTCCTTGTTTTCTTTCCTCTGCCCACCCACTTCACTTTTTCTCTTCCCAACTTCCCCGTTTCCCTCCTGCCTTACGTCACTGAAAGCATATTTTGTAGCACTCCCACTTTGCTAAAAAGTGGAACACAGAGCGAAGGCAATGCACATGTGAAATGGATATTGACACTTGCCAGGGGATTTATTTTAAAAGCTAGATACAACAATAATAAAGAACTCTATCAATGTTGGGGAAGAAGAGGGAGGCATCTGTAGATATCACACAGATTATAATCTGCTTTTGGAAGACAAAAATTCATGTCAGGGGAGGGAGAGAGGTCAGAGAAAAATGTCAAAGAATCTGTTGGTCTTGGAAAGGATTTGGAGGGAATATTTAGAAAAAAAAAGAGACATTATGTATTATACCAGCATTTGTAATCTGCGTCTGGAAAGAGTGAACTGCTAGAATCGAACATTGGGAAGAAAGGTGGGGTTGGCTTTGATCTTACAGAGTGAAATTCTGATAGTAATGTTTTCATTGGATATGTAGGTTACTAAAGATACAAAGTATTCCCTTCTAAATTAAGGGGATATATAGTTCACAACCTTAAATCAGCCTCATTTGAGTACAGTTTTGTTTTAAATATTAATCTTTTATCTCTGGAGTTGCCACAGTAGCCACTGTTTTTTATACATTCTTACTTTTCTTATGCTATGGAACTTGTTCATTTTATTGTGTTTTATTTTGGGACAGGTTATCAAGGATCCTCCCCCACCACCTCCTGCACCAAAGGAGGTAAGTGAATGTCCAATCGAAAGTACATAGAGATTTAATATATTTTATAATAATATATTAATAGTCCCAATGACACTCACCTAAAATTGTTAAAATATCCAAGCTGTCAGTTCAAAGATGCCATTACTTTCTTCAAAGTGCTAATTTGCTATTATATTACTCTGTTAGCTAACATCATACTAGTAACATGAAGTAAGGAATGTACTGGTATTGTGCATTGTCAGAGCTTCTTTTGTATGAATTTCACACTTCAAAGTTACATATATATTGATTGACACGTGAAATAGTTTTTGAAGTGTTGCCCTAAGTTGAATAATCTTTTCAAGTTTGAATTGATGAATATACTTGGTTTAAAGGCACAACACTCACAGTTAAAATAAGCAACTTCTGTTAACTTAGGACTGATATAGGGAGAATTTGCTAAACGGAAGGTATTTTACCCCTTGTAGAACTACACTTGAAATTGATGTATGTGATTATAAATGCACCCATATATTCCATGGATAATGTTTACATTTTCTCCTAAAAATAGAATTATTTAAAAAGTCTCAGTGTGATGCAGCTCTGACCAAACAACATTTTAAGAAACTCATTAAATCTACTTTTAAAAACTCTATCTTTATAGGAGGAGGAAGAAGAGCCTTTGCCCAACAAGAAATGGCCAACTGTGGATGCGTCCTACTATGGTGGTCGAGGAGTAGGAGGAATTAAAAGAATGGAGGTTGGTTTCCTAAAGAAATAGAGAATGTTAATATAAAATGTGTATTTGTGGGATTATTGAGCCGCAGACATTGTGCTTTCTTTAATTCCATCCCTTTTAGGTCAGTATGGGGTCTTCTCTGGAGGCTCATTTCTGTAGAATCATGTTAGCCATGTCTGAGCTGGTGAAGAACAAAGGCTTCATCAGTCAAAGGACTACATTGATAAGATTTCTGAGCTCTAAGGATAAAAATAGTTGTGGGTCTCCTACTCTTGGAAAAAGTTATAACATCAACTCCAAGAATGCCAGTCACTCACAGTTGCAACAATGCTGTTCTTTGAAAAGGCCCAACAGTTAGTTACTATTTGATGGACAAACATAAAATATCGAACAGCATGAATAGGACTTTATAAAAAATATAGAAGAGGCATATTTAAAACTATCAATAGCTTTTACTTACCACTTAGCAACTATCCTTATTAATACTTCATATCTTTACTATGTTGAACTCATTTTCTGTTAGTCTAGTAGTCCAAAGATTAAGATTTCTTTCTAAAGAAAGCAGCAACATGAACCTATGAATGGATCCTGGGTAAAAAGGAATATGAGTTTATGTGTCAGTCAGGTTTTTGTTACAAATACTCTAAGTAAACCAACTTATAAAAGAGAAATTTATTTTGGCTTGGAGTGTTAACCTATAGTTTGTAAGCTTTCTTGGTTTAGGGTCTGTGTGCAGGCAGAACATCGTTCCAGGGAGCATTTGGGAGAGCACACTCCTTACCATGGGCAGGTGTGAGCAAATCAGGAGAAAGAACATTTTGCTATCACCACCTAGAAGTACAACCTGCAAAGGTCTAACTCTTAGACCTCTCCCTGTGTCCCACCTCTTACAGGTGCTCGTACCTTCCAAAAGAGCACACCCATGACCGAGACTTTAGTACGTGGACCCTTAGAGGGCATTCCATATCCAAACTGCATCAGTCTCTCTATGCTTAAGAAAGCACATGCACATTCCCAGGAGCCTGTAATTCAAACTTCAAGAGTCCGGGGATTCCAGCATGTGAACTTGCAACACCTGCCCATCATTTTTAACTAAGGAAAAATTTTGAAAAAAGGATGATTCAATCTCCATTGAGTCTATGTCCATTAACCTTGAAAAGTTTTGGACACATTACTGGAACATTCTGTTGATGTGATGGTCAATGGGATGATAATGAATCTTAAAATCACAAAGAAAGCACAGATATTTACAAAGAAGAAATTCAGTATAGAAAGATACACAATAAAACTGAGATGGGAATTAGGTGTCATTAAAATTCCACTACTGTGACTTTAGAACTGGAGGGATGGAAATGATCCACAATGCTTTTATAAACATGTCTCTTCAAACGTGCAAATCTTCAGAGAGAAAATGAATTATAAAAGTTCTGAGGTCAACAGAATTGGAGAACAAGCCTTCAGAGCTGAGGTTAGTTTAAAGCACAATGGACACTTATCTCTGGATCTTACAACACTCGCTCTTTTAATTTAAATATTCTTTTAAATTGTCCTCTAATGGAGTTTGCAGAAAGCAGGAGCAGAGCTTTTAATAACAGCTGTTATCACAACAGATCTACTACAACTCCTAATAACTTCACACGGGTGTTCCTGCCAATTTCTCGTGAAACAGACTTTTAAAAATTCCAAAATTGCTCCATTATTATATAGACTGTGAGTTATCCAAATATGTTCTATAAGTTATGAAACTCATTGTTGATCATGAAAGCCACATGGAATTGGAAGAATTCAGCTTTGAAGCTTGTTCTTACCCATTATTTCCCCATAATAAAATAAAGCTAGGGACAAACTCCACTAAGATTTTCTTTAGCCTTCTATTTCTGTTCTTCTCCCTTCCTTTTTTTTAAGGGCATCTCAATGTGATCAACCCAAACTGTTAAAATTTACACACACACACACACACACACACACACACACGTTTGATTCCTTGGTAGAGTTGCAGGAAACTTCTACAAGGTGTTTTCCAGTCTTAGCTCTCGAGATTAAGTGAGACTTGTGTTTGGTGAAGATTGATGATAAATAGGAAGCTTTTTCTTGAAACAAAGGCAGCAAACTTATTAAACTCCTTAGGCCTCCATGACTGAGGGCCACTCCGTAGTCATTAGGAGCCTAGGAATGCCGCCTTGGATCAGAATTCCAGTTCAACCACCTTTCACTTTTTTAAATCTGAGAATAGTTCCAGTGATATTTGTCTAATTATCATGAACTCTATGGTTTCAACTGTGAAGGACAGACTAAAGAGCTATTTGTGTTCAAATCTGCCCTTTCTGAATCTATCTAAATTGTATCTACTTTATACTTTACTTGGGATTATTTCTCTGAGTTGTAACATCCATGTGTTTACTAAACCATCTGTCTCTTTTGTTTGTTTCCTAAAATTGAGATGTTTCAGCTTAGAGTTTTAAGTTCAATCAGTTATATCTAAAGATTTTATTCTTGGCTTATCTTTGCCAACACTACTGTAATCTGAAAAAGATGGTCTCATCTCTTTCCCTCCCTCCCCTCCTCTCCTCTTCCCTCCTCTCACTTCCCCTCCCTCTCCTCTCCCCTCCTCCCCTCCCCTCCTCTCCTTTTCCTTCTTCCCTTCCTTCTTCTTTCCTTCCTTCTGTCCTTCCTTTCTTTTCTTTCTTTCTAGCCCAACTATCTAGTTTGAAATGTTTAATATGTTTCAAAAAATTTACAGCCTCACAAAGAACACTCTAGCCATTGATCACATACAAATCTACTTCAATGACTCAGTAGGGTCCACTTTTAATTGAAAACTATTCTAAAATTGTACCAAAAATATGTGTGTGTGTGTGTGTGTGTGTGTGTGTGTGTGTGTGTGTGTGTGTAGAACTATCAAAGTAGCTTTATCAAAAAGCTTGCATGATTATATGAAAAGTAATTATCCATCTTCCTGCTTAACAATCCAGGTCAGTGGCTTTAAAGTTTTTCCTTAGCTGAAATGACTTAATGGTGTATTGTAGCATATCTTGAACTGGTTTTTGCATTATCTATGTATAACACAAATTGTCTCCTTATTTGAAATGGTGGAGAAACCATTACACTAGATTTGAGTGGCATATTTTTACAAAGACTCATTTTGCATTTGGGTCATGATGAGGAAACAAAGGCAGGAAGATCCCAGAATTGTCCTAGGGTCAAACCAACCTATTCTAATGGTCTAGTTCCAGGTCCCAGTGAGAGACCTTGTCTCAAAACACAAGATGAGGGCACCTGAGGAATGGCATCTGAAATTGACCTTTGACCTCCACACACATATGAATTCAAACACACCTGGACATTCACATATATGCCCATGCATATACACACAGGCAAATAATAATGAGTAGGAAAGAACCCACTGAAATGCAGAAGAAAAGGAACAGGAAGTGAATAAACCAATTCATCGTCTTACGCTGGACTAGTGACTCAAAGGCCTGTGGGCCACCTAAGAGCTTGCTCCTCTGGAACGTTTTGTCTGAAAGCAGTGTCTCCTTCATTTTAAAGGTCCGCTGGGGAGATAAAGGATCTACTGAGGAAGGTGCAAGGCTAGAGAAAGCAAAAAATGCTGTGGTGATGATCCCCGAAGAAGAGACACCCATCCCACCAAGACCTCCTCGACCCAAACCTACACACCAGTCCCCTCAGACAAAATGGTACACGCCAATTAAGGTACTTGCCTGCATTTTGCATGATATAGCTTAAACCTAACATGATGTAACTTTTATAGTCTCTCCTGTCCCCGAGGAAGACGAAAGCAGGTCAAATAGCAGATACTCATTTTATGTTCTAGCAACTGCTTATGTTCTTAGCATAAGAACCTTCAAGTGTTTGTATTTACTAACTTACTACTTGATGAACTGAAGCTACACAATTTTATAAATCTAATATCTCTTTAGGGTCGTCTGGATGCACTCTGGGCCTTGATCTTGAAGCAGTATGACCGAGTGTCCTTGATGAGACCCCAGGAAGGAGATGAGGTTTGTGTATGGGGATCTCTTGAGAAAGGTGATGGGGGCTGTATAATGAAAGTAGGGAGATAGTAATGAAAATGATTTAAAACTTCCTGTTAGCATGCAGGATGGAATTGATGCTGACATGTTCATGTTCTTGTTACACAGGTGCTTGTAAATTTTGTTTTTACAATGCGTTTTCAAGCCAATTCCATACCAGTGCCTTTCCAGATAATTAATTAAAATCATAAGCATGCCCATTGCTTTAGCATTTGACTTTGAAGACAAAAGTTCTGAGTTACTTTCTTTTGGAAGAAACAGACTGGGAATTAGCATCTGAAGTCTTTCCTCTGGCATTAGTAGCAATGGGGTCTAGGGAAAACACCTCAGAGATGCTATCTTTTGGTATAAATTGCCTTGAGTAGTTGTCATAATCTAGTGTCTGAAATATGTCAAGGTGTCCTTAAGGCTTGAAGCACCAAAGAAGTCCATGGTAGTGGTATTTAGAGGCACATAATTACAGATGTAAGGCATGTATGCCTTTCTTCACTAAGGAGTCTGTTTTAAAGCTCTTGCTTTGGAAACATGTTTATAATTATTATGTTTTTAATTTTTTTTTAATAATTTACAATTGTAGCAATTTTAGAGAAATTGTTAAAAGCCTCTTCATATGCAATAGTGGCAGGTTTGGTTGAGAGACCCGGTGCTGTTCATGATGCTAGGTTGCTTCTATGTTGTGAGTGCAGCCCTTTCTGTCCTACAAAGGAGTGAACATCATGTACTTCTGCTTCAGAGGACTTGGGCTTCACTTAGGTCTGACATACTACTCTTTAAAACGACGAGGTAATCAATCAAGTTAGTATTTATGTTTCGAAGCCAAGATAAGATGTATTTAGTATCAGGTGATTTTAGCTTGGTGTTAGAGTTTAAAAGAATTTAAAATTTTATGTCTAACAACTTAGGATCATTTCAGAAACATCTGAGTTCAGCCAGTTAGGGTATTCGACTTGAGAAATACTGCTGCCCCTCCTAACAAGATGTCAGTATCCAGTGATAGCTCCACTGGGAGAAAGAGCTATGTGCTCTGTGATGCAGACTTTCCTGTTACCTGGTCTTTGGCAGATTCTCCGTAGAAACTTCCTTTAGAAGTTTCCCAATTTAAATTCAGATGTGGGCTTGAGTTCTGTTTCTGGATCTCCGCGTAACTCGTCTTCCTTTTGGACTCCCTAGTCTTTTCGCTTCATTTTGTTTACAATTATTTTCACACCTCATCTCAGTGTGGTCTTTATCAGGTTAGATATTGGTTTGAAGGTTTAATAATTCCCATCTTACTTATTGAGGGTTGGGTGTTGAGTGAATAGTGAGATTTGGGAGGGGGGTTCTCGTTCTCTTTCTAAGATTTTGTATTCTCTTTTAACTGTTATGAAAAAGGATATTTGCAAAATTTACTTCCTTAAAATTTACCAATACTTGCTTAAACCGAGTTAAACATTAAACTCTAAATCATGAATATGTACTTCTTATAAATATGGACTGTATATATGTACATGAGATCTTTATTTTCATCTGATTATCAGTTTGTTCTAAAAATTTGATTTCAATGAAGTATTTCTGTAAATATTAGAAAGTCTATTAAATAGTGTGTTGTCAGCATAGAAAAGCATGTTAAACACTTATTGGAACAGTTTGTCTATGATATCAAATAACTTATTTGAACAAATGTTATCTGATATTAAGGTCAAGTCTTTTAAATTTGAAATTTACCAACATGTGAATTGGTGTCATTAGCAATTTTCCTTTGTCTCCTGTGGTCATCAACCTTTTTTGTGTGCATGCGTATACGCAAATACAACCTTTAGTTTAGTTTGTGCTCCGTGAAGTATTTGTGTTGGTACAGAAGTGTGAGTATGTGATTGTAGAACAGTTTGCTCATTTTAGGCAATAGGAAGGCTCAGAAACGCCAACATTTAGATGAGGGTGTTCGTTTACATTGTCAGGGCATAAATAATCCCTTTTCAGAGAGTCGCATCCGCATCCTCCAAGGGTGAAGGAGGAGGCTGGCTTTAAGCTGCAAGACAGCTAATAAAGCACAGTGGTGGTGGTTCTCAGGGTCTGACTAATGGCTCCAAGGAACACAACCCGTGCCTACCCAGCAGCTTGTTTTGTGCTTTGGAAAACAGCCTTGTCATTTATGTAGGAACAGTTTCCTGCAGATTCCGCCTCCAGAGAGCTCAGTCTAATAAACAAACTCGCGACCACAGAACCACGGAACCGAAGCTGCCCTAAGTCCCTCAGGTGGGGCAGCTAGTCCTTCCAGGCGCATTTGGAGCCAAAGCTGTGCTGGGGCTCAGAGGCCGCAGGGCTCCCGGGCTGAGCTCTGCGCGCCCTGAAGTCCTTGATGCCTAGGCTGAAGTTAGTGAGAGCCTTATCAAAGCGGCCACAGGGGTGGGCGGGCTCCCAGTGCGAGGCTGCGGGCGAGCACCATCTTTGATGCGGGCGGCAGGTCCTGGGAGTCGCGGGTTTGGCGGCCAGGTGCGTGCTAGCAGGTTGTCCCGACATCTGCTGGCGGCCATGGCAGCCGATTGTCAGCCGAGGTAGTTGAGAGCGGCAGGACCGTTTTGGTCTCGCTCGCGCTGCCTGGAGGCCTGAAACTCCAAAGGTAGGAGCGGGGTGGACACAGCTGTGCTCCCAAACTTGCCGGAGGCACAAATAGGAGATCTAATGCAGTTTGACTCCATGACGGTGGGGGGACAGGACAGAGAGCTACTTCAGAGACAACTTACCGCTGCAACATCTGCCGCCAAGTTTCCAGGGAGTGACAGGGGACAGCAGGTACAGATCTAAGTCTCTGCACAAACAACCTCCATTACGCGCTGGACTCTTTTGAAGGGTCCCATCAAACAGGCCCGAGTCCGCAGCAGGAGTTTGTTTGGTTTTCAAAGCAGTGTTTTGTGTGTGTGCGTGTGTTTTCCTCCTCAATAACAAGGTAATTTATAAATGATGCATTACCATGCGTCCTCCTTTTTTTCCCAATGAAAAGAGAGTTGAGAAGCAGAAAGGCAAAGAAAGAAGAAAGCACAGGACCAGTTTGGAGTTGTTTCACAAACCAAGTTAATCCCCGAGGACCTTCTTGACGTTGTTCGAGGTTATGTTAACCTTCAAAAGGCTCCTCATTCACCAGTGAGCAGATATCCACTCGAAGCTGCTACAGAAGAATCCCAGAACATGCCTGAAATACATGGACTTCTGCTCATTGCTATTCCATGTTCTGAACTCAGTTTCTTATCTCTTCGGATGTGAAATTTAAGGTTCTTTTTTTCAAATGAATGAGGTCGTCCCCCCCCCCCCCCAGTAAAACAAAAATCTTAGAAATTGAATTCACTTCACTTTGTTTCTTATTTATCAGGACTCCATGCCTGTAGTGCCTTAAAATAAACAAACATTTTTTTTTCTCTTAGAGGAAGAACACCCCTTTCTATGACCTACATTTAGCTGAAAGAAAATTTATCAATTTGATATTTGCCAAAAATGATGCAATAAAGTCATAACTGTGCACAGGTGTATAAATGGCAATGGGATGGGTTAAAATGCTAGCCTGGCAAGTAGGAGTACCGGACTATGGTAAGAGAATAAAGATTTCAGTCATGTGATTTATCCCACCATCCAGTGAAGTGGCTGCGTGCTCATCCATCTCCTTGAGATGATGAGAGCTGCCTATGCAAACGTGTACTGCTGAGCAAAGAATTCTCTATGGAGCAGGTCCTGGGGAGAGAAACTGGAGCACTGGCCTCCTCATTGGTTGGCAGTGGCTGCTTACAGCGTAGGTGCACAAGAAGTTTTAGGTGAAGCCAGACGTGCTTTGCATTCTTTGAGAGGACTGACATCAGTCAGAACAGACATCAGTCCTCAGCGTTTTAAAAGTTGGTTGCAAAACGAGATGAGATGCATCAAGATTACCAAGAGCCCAAACTCCTTTAGAAGATGCTGAAGAGCATTGTAACTACAGAGGCCAATGACCGAAGCTCACCTCCAGCTTGTTTCCTAGTCATCGATGTCGATTTATGTCCACTCCCTTGTTAACCCTGCTTCTGAAGTCTCATGTTCAAACAAGCAGGTCTACCCTTCTTGAATCGCTGTATCTTCAATGACTTCAGCCTCCCAAGGGTCACTATGAGCCGCCTTGTGTTTATAAATCATGTGACTCTGACGCAGTTCAGCCAATCTATTCTTAAACTGACCAGCTCCTCCATGTCAGGGCTTCCTTCAACCCCCTACCCCTTCTGTTGTCTACCACATTTGCTGTGTGAATTCTGTGGGTATCTGGAGAAGGTTGATCATTTCATTAAATGGTTTTATATTTTAAATGTTCTCGATGCCTGGATGTATACTGTTAATGATTGCAGCTAACTACAACTTACAACCTTTGGCTGGCACATGTTTATTTGGTAAAATGTCCATTAGAACAACCCATGGCAGGAATATGCCATTATTTTGGCAATTCCACCGACTGCTACAGGGGTGCATGTCTATGTAGATGGGCATTCCTTTGCACTGTGGTTGTATAAATGTACTCAGTAGTACAGAACACATTTGCTTTTTAGAAAAGTCATCAACTAATGTCTCTTGCCCTGGAAATTAACATTCACAGAGAGTATTGCTTAAGCTTAAATAAAACCACCTCTTCGTGATGTGATAAAGAGGTGAGTGTGAATTCATTCTGGTTTCTTGAAGTGAGATGCAGAATGTGTAAGATCCAACTACTTAAATTACAAAGCTAGATGAATTTTTTAAAAGACCTATAAATAGTATGTAGACACTTAGTGAACATTTTAATAATTAATAAAGAAAATTATGTATTAGGATAAACACTCCTTTTTCCATTAATACACTGCTTTTAGTTAAATTTCTTTCATGTATAAGCTTTGGCAGGCATAGTGAAAAATTACTTTTAAAAAATTGCAAGAGGTGGCCTTCCTTAAGGAAGAGAGCACCAATAGGTTGTCCTGTGCCAAACAGCCCTGAAAACA